TTTGTTTTGAAACAAAATACCACGAAACATAATTTGTAAGAAGTCTTGTTATTTTACATGTTCAAATAAGGAAAGAATTTATATAATGTTATATTTTAATTGATTTAGAAATCCTATTAAGATTTTCTATATGGTTCAAACAAGAAAAAATTTAATAAGTAAAAGTTTAGTTGCTTTTAAAGTCTTAAATATTAGGGAAAATAATTAAATGACTATTTTGTCTAATATAAACCCTATTTAAAAGGATAAAAAAGGCGAATGACATTTCGCTAAGGGCAATCGTGCTTTTTATATAGTGTATATTATATATATATATATATATATATATATATATATATATATATATATATATATATATATATATATATAAAAGCAGGTTTTCTCTAATTCTAGTTTTGAGAGTAAATATCCTTAAGTTGTACTCGTCTTATTTAGCAAAATTAATCAGGCCAACTACTGAATAGTCAAAAAAGAAATATCTTCAGTAGGGTCTCTTGTTTTTGAAGCATTCTGTGGGGGATGTGTTTTCATTTCCAAATGTCGAATCTTATATTTTTCACTCCGATTCAGCTTTTACTAGATACTCTTTGTTCCGACAATGTCTTGATCACATTGTTGTTGATGATGATCATGACCAAATAGTTCGGCAATTGCAGGACGAGTTTCCTACTATGGAGAGCTGTTACGGACCTCATAATGCATTGTTCGTTAGAATGGCACATGAATGGATGCTCAACTCTGGAGAATTCATGAACTCCTATAGAGAAGTGGAAGGTAAGTACCTTGATTTATTACTTGCCAATAATGAAAAAGACAAGAAGCCATTGTGGGCTGTTGGTCCACTTCATATGCTGCTAGAATCACACGAATCTAGTGACAGAAATCGCCATGAATGCCTAGAATTTCTCGACAAGCAAGATGCTAATTCAGTAATATTCGCATCGATTTGGAACAAACACTAAGTTCTCACAAGAGCAGATCAATGAGCTCGCGCTTGGTTTAGACCAGAGCAAACACAGATTTATTTGGGTACTAAGAGAGGCAGATAAAAAGATGGGTGTGGAGAAATTCGAAGCGAAAGAAAGAAATAAGATTAAATTACCGGAAGGATTTGAAGAGAGAGTGGAAGGAAGAGGAATGGTGGTGAGAAATTGGGTACCCAAATTGGAAATCTTGGGACATCCGTCTACGGGTGGATTTTTGAGTGATTGTGGATGGAACTCTTGTTTGGAGAGCATTAGCATGGGAGTTCCAATAGCAGCTTGGCCAAACAATGCAGACCAGCCCTATAATGCTGTTTTTGTAACTAGTGTTTTAAAAATTGGAATCTCCGTGTGGAGTTGGGCTCGAACCCGTGATCTATAGTGGCTGATTCCACGGCTCGAAACCGTGACCTATAGGTCACACGAAGACAATTTTATTGTTATTCCAAGGCTTCCTTCAAGATGACACTTGAAGACTACTTGGCAAAATATCCAATCCATCCTAACTCTTTTGATTCAAAAATCACCCCTCTCCCACCTCATTTATGGTTAGGTACCAAAATAGTGGCCCAAAGGCAATCTAATGTGGTCATGTAGATTCAACTGAATTTTTTGCTTCAGACTCGAACCATTTATTCATAATGCAGAAAAATTAAATGTGCATATAATAAGATCTTACTCATGATTACCTGTCTTTTGTGCATTTGGGTGATGATCTTACTTCACACTTAACACTATATAGGTTCACGTTTGACTATAAATCACTTTTCTGTAGGGTGGGTGTAAATTGTAATCAAATGAATGTATATTTGAAAAAAGATTCAAGTTACTTCTTAACTCTGGACGTCTGATCAGTAGTGTTGGCCCAAGTTCAGATGAAGTTTTGAAGATTGACAAAATGAACTCAACCATGAACCAGGTCCATCATGTGAGACATACACAGTGTTGATATATTTATTCATGTGACAGACGTGTCAAGATAAGTCTCAAGGGTCAGCAACAATCAGTAACACCATCTGCAGAGTTGATCGAAAAGGTTGCATAGGATAAGGAGTTGAAGTCTCCTTATGTAAAGAGAACTACATCCGGATCAAGGATAAGGATTGGAGTTTGAAGTGTACTAGGACTCGAATTTGATGAAGGATCAGCAATTCGAGTTTTAATCAAACTCTGATTACTAACTCTATAAATAATAAAGATTGTTCTCTTTTACAGGTGATTGCACATACGCAGAAGTTAAACTGAATTGAGAGCAAAAGAGCTAGGCGATTTTGCAAGCAATTTGAGTATGATTCAAGTGTGCAAATCTGAAGCTACATGAACCAAGAGTGAAGAACCAATTCCATTGTGTCTTTCTTTATTTCTAGTTCAATTGTAGTAGGTGTTTTTCATATTGTACCTTTTAGCTTTATCTAGAAGCAATTGTAATAGGTATATTGAGTATTCAAGTTAGAGTTAACTTGAAGGTGTCGCAACAGTTGAGGCTGTGTGCCACACTGGGATTAGAGTTTAATCCTTAGGTTTACAAGAGTTTGTAAATACTGTTTTTGGCTCAGTGATTTTAGTGGATGTTCGGGAAAATCCTACTGAGTAGTAGGTCGTGGTTTTTCCACCTTTTGAGCCAGGTGTTTTCCACGTAAAAATCTCTGTGTTCTTTACGTTATGCACTCTTAATTCCGCAAACAGTCATAGTAAGTACATCTAGAAGAACCAGGTTCTTCTAGTGCGAAAATTAGGTACCACACAAATCACCCCCCTACTTGTGTGGTATTCACGTTTAGAACATCAAGTAGAATTAGTTAAATACAGAGAAATATGTGCAGAAAGGGAAATGGCATAAAGCTTGCTACTACTACTGTTAGAAAATAATAACAAAATTGGCTTTGAGGCGTGAAAATCTACTGTCCTTAAAGAGTTATCGCCTGTATACTAATTTAGGGAAAAAATAAAAAAGCGATTCTCTTCAGGATACAACAAAGCCTGCAATAAGACTTGTGATTTTCTATACCACTTCGTTGGAATTCTTGTGCATTTATAGGCAACCAACAGACCCTTTCAGAAAAGATGTCTTGTTTCACAGACAGACATATTTGGTTAGACCCTTTCACAACAGACATGACTATTTATTCGAATTTTGAATTTAAAATTCAAATAAATTTGATTTTTCTGTCACAAAATAAAATAATTAACTTTAGGATCCGACCCGGCCCGCGCCCAAGCCCCAAGTCCAAGTCCAAGTCTTTGATTATATAATATATAAATATATAGTGTACTTAATTGCACATACTTAAAAGTATGTGTCCTAAATCAAAGACATAAAAGGGACAAGTGCTTAAAAAGCTCCAAAAGGAACTTCTCCCTTCCGATGTAGGAAGAATCCCACTTCCAACTTATCAATAACAAACTAACTTACAATCCCCCACTAGTTTGTTATATCACTTCATAACACTTGTGAATAATAGAAAGTATCTTTTATACAGATTTGAACTTTCCTTTAGTATAAGTATTTTAAAGTTTTGACGAAGTTATTGGTATCTTAAGATTTGAACCACAACTCCTTATGCCAAAACCGAAAGTACCACACACACAACGTTATCTAGTAGCTTAGAAAATCCAGTATTCGCTTTAGCACGTTCACGGCCATGTGCTCATCCTAAATTCATGAATATTTTCAAGATCAACCCTTTAAATCTTGCTAGAAGCGGCACCACTTCAATATTCATATAGGTGGAATTAGTTACGATGTCCCTGTTACTCCAGACATTAATAATTCCATTAAGATTAATCAGCCTCTTCATGTAACAGTATGCACTTTGGAGTTTGTCTTTATGCCCCTGTTATAACAAGCATTTAACAACTCCTTAACTCCTCACATAACAGTAAGTAGTACAATAGAATTAGGGCTCCTAAAGAGGAGATCAATGCTTAAACAATGCAAGTAACTTGTTATTACCCATTGAACTTGTATTGTTAGAGTGTATACTAACTCAAAGCGGGGTACCCATTCCTTGCATTTAATTTAAGGGTCTCTGCCCCATCCCTTCACAAATTTGTTGTACTACATCTCTACCCATTGGCTTCGTAAGTGGATCAGCGAAATTCTTATTTGATCTCACATATATTATAGCTATAGCTCCATTTGTAATTTATTCTTTTATATAAGCATGTCTCAAGCTTATATGTCTCGATTTCCCATTGTATATTTTATTGTGAGCAACACACATTGTAGTCTCACTATCACAGAATATGGAAATGGCTGGCATAGGTTGTGGCCACAACTTTATATCAAGTAATGTGTTCCTCAGCCATTCTGCTTCTTTTCCAGCAGCTGCTAATGCAATGAATTCAAATTCCATGGCAGAATAGGAAATACATGTTTGTTTCTTGGATGCCCAACTAATGGCTCCACCGCCTAGAGTAAATATCCATCCTGATGTAGATTTATTATCATTAACACTTGTAATCCAACTTGCATCACAATATCCTCTAATACATTAGGGAAACCATTATAGAAAATGCCCAAGTGCTTTGTATATTTTAAATATCCAAGTACTCTACTTATTGCTTTCCAATGATCATTACCTGGATTACTGGTAAACCTTGAAAGTTTACAAATAACAAATTCTATGTCGGGTCTAGTGCAATGCATTGCATACATCATACTACCTACCGCACTTGCATACTCCAACTGTGCTACTGCTCTTCCAGTATTTGCAGTTAGCTTAACACTAGAATCATAAGGAGTATTATACTCCTTTATTCCTAAATGACTGAATTTAGTAAGGATTTTATCTATATAATGCGCTTGTGATAAAGTCATTCGCTTGTTATCTCTTTTGACCTTGATTCCCAAAATAGTATCAAATTCATTTAAATCTTTCATTTTAAAAACCGAAGTTAGATACTTCTTGGTCTCGGTAATTCCTCGTAGATTCGTACCAAAAATCAGCATGTCATCGACATATAAACAAATTATTACTCCATATTCTTTTGTAAATTTAGAGTAAATGCACTTGTCTGCATTATTATGTACGAACCCGTTTGATAGTATTACACTATCAAACCTTTCATGCCATTGTTTAGACGCTTGTTTGAGACCATAAAGAGACTTTATCAGGTTACAAACTTTCTTCTCGTTTCCCGGAAGAACAAATCCTTCAGGTTGTTGCACATATACTTCTTCACTAAGGTTCCCATTTAAAAAGGCCGTCTTAGCATCCATTTTATGTACATAAAGATCATAGATAGAGGCCAAGCATAAAAGAACTCTAATGGATGTTATTCTTGCAACGGGAGCATATGTATCAAAATAGTCTATGCCTTTCTTTTGAGTGAAACCTTTTGCAACTAATCTTGCTTTGAAGGTTTGGACAAAACCATCTGTATTGTACTTTTTCCTAAAGACCCACTTACAACCTATAGGCTTTGATCCAAGAGGAAGATCAACTAAAACCCAAATGTTGTTGGATATAATTGAGTCCATTTCATCATCAATGGCCTCTTTCCAAAAGGCAGCGTCTCTAGAAGACATTGCTTCTTGAAACGTCTTTGGGTCTTCTTCAACATTTAATACAATAGGAATTTGTTTACAAACGTTTATCCTATCTCCTTCAACAAGAAATACTATAGATTGTGAAGAAATAAAATCAGAACCAAAATATTTTTCTTTTGTTATTCTTTGGCTTTTCCTTGGTTCTATCTGCATATCATCACTTATTTCTTTATTTGTAATAATTTCAGAAAGTGACAATCTATTAGCATCAATACGTTTTCCATTTATTTCAGTCATTTCATCAACATTGTCATTTATAAATCTATTTTCAATAAATTCAACATGTATCGATTCTATAATGACATTAGATTCTAGATCTAGCAGTTTATATGCTTTGGAGTGTTGTGCATATCCTACAAAAACACTTTTAATTCCTCTAGGACCCAATTTTGTTCTTTGATGGTCAGGTACTCTATAATAGGATATACACCCCCACACTTTAAAATAATTTAAATTTGATTTTCTACCATTCCAAAGCTCATAAGGCGAAATATGCATACTTTTTGAAGGCACTCTATTTAAAATATAACATGTGGTTAGTAGTGCTTCACCCCATAAATTATGTGGCAAATGTGCATTAAGTAACATAGCATTAACCATATCCACCAAAGATCTATTTTTTCTTTCCGCCAACCTATTTTGTTGAGGAGTATAAGGGGCACTCATTTAATGTATTAGGCCATGCTCTTCACAGAACTTATTAAATTCGTTAGGAAAATATTCTCCGCCTCTATTACTTCGAATAATTTTAATTTTCCTACTCCTTTGATTTTCCACAATAGACTTGTATTCTTTAAACTTTTGAAAAGCTTCGTCTTTAATTCTAAGTA